ATTTTCGTTTCTCAGATGAAGTAACAGTCATTAGGTGGCTAAGGAACTTGCCTTGGCTACTGGATGGTAGAGTGAGGATTTGAACCCAGAACATCTGATAGAGTACGTCTTTATTATTATTATCTTTGTGCTTTTACTCAAGCACTGGGGTTAGAAGGAAAGATTGAGTCAGATAAGGTAACCCTTTACTTATTTTTCTATTGGCTTAACTACCAGTAATGCAAGTGAATTATATTATTGTATTTATTGATATAGTCTAAATTAAAAGGCTTTTTAGCTTAAACCAGGCAAAATAGGTAATATTTTTTTAAAAAGTCATTTTCCACTATCAACTTTAAATTCTTTACAGCACTATCCATGAACTTAAAACTTAATTTGTGAACATAATTCCTCAGTAAGCAGGAGCTACAAGCAAATACCGAAGTGAGGGGACATCGATTTTATTTTCACCCACCACCATCCATCAGACCACCTCCACACTGCTCCTACTCCACCCTCACCTCCCCCTCTGGTAACCTCAGTGTGGTCAAGGTGTGCAGTTTATTTCATTTGGTGCTTTCACCTGCTCTGTTTCCTTATATTGCCCATGGGGGTAGAACATGTGCACTATTTCTCTTTCTTCTTCTAACTGAATTTGCCGCACTTAATTCCCTTGAGTTCCTTTCATTTTGCTGGACCTCGAAGGATTTCACCTTTAATTATAGAGGAGTATTCTGCTTTGTAGATGTACCCCATCTTTTTGTCCAGTCATCTGTCAGTGGGCATGTAGGGTGTCTTCTAATCTTAGCCATTGTCCATATGCCACTGTAGACATTTGGGAGCACATAGCTCTTTGAGTTGATGATTTTATACTCAGAAGTGGGCTTCTTGGATCGTACTGGCAGTTCCTGTGTAGTTTTTGTGAGGACGCTCCATGCTGTCCATTTCCAAGATCGTCACATCTGTCTACATTCCCATCAAGATTGCTATAAAGGTTTCTTTTACTTCACACCATCGCCAAAACTTGCTGTTCTCTTTGATGTGACCCAGTCTCACGGATACGAACTGATCTCATTTTTGTTTTGCTTTGCTTTCCTCTAAGTGACGAGACTTTTTTCATGTGCCTATCAGCCACCTGTCTTCTCTAGAGAAGTGTCTACTCAGATTCTCGGCCCATTTTTTAATCAGATTGCTTCTTTAGAGTATTGAGTTCTTTGTGTAGTTTGGACATTAACCCTTTGTCGTACACAACAAAGTGTGTACTCAAGAACACACTTTGTTCTTCACTTCATTAGACTGTCTTTTTATTCGGTTATTTTCTTTCACTGTAGAGTTTTTAATTTGATGAAAAGCTTATTTTTGCTTTCATTACCCTTGCCATTGAGTTTGAGTGACCACAGATGCCTTTAACACCGTTAGCATGGAACACATCACCTGTATTTCCTTCTTTTATGTATTTTATAATTTGGAGTCTTACATCCGGGTCTTTAATCCACTTTGAATTTATTTTTGTATGGATTTAGTGTGAGATCCACTTTCAGCCTTCTGCATGTGGCCGTCTAGTTTCCGAACACCATCTGTTGAAGAGATTTTCTTGGCTCCTTTGTATGATCATAGCTCCTTTGTCATAGATGGTGCACTGATAGATAAATCTCACTGATACATATACACTGATGTATATAAGTGCTATAAATATATTTATATATAAAAAGACACACACATACACATATATGGGGGTTTACTTCTGGGCTCTTGATTCTATTCCATAGATCCATGGATGTATTTTTCTTCCATTATCATACTGATATAATTCCTGATGCTTTATACCATAGCTTGAAGTTGGATCATATGCCTACATTTGTCATTGTTTTCAAGGTTGCATCAGGGACTCCGGGTTCTTGTGGTTTGGTCTATGTTAGTGCACATTTTCCGTATACAATGTCAGTTACTGATCAATAATGTAACAAGTCAGGTCAATATATAGTATTCTTGTTTTTAGTTTAGATGAGTTTTTTTAACAATCTAAATCTCCATTGAATAAATTGTCACGTGAAACAATATACAATCCCCTTAACAAATTCTCCTTAGTTAATGTAGCACTGAAAGAATATTACTGGTTTTGCTGTAACTAAAAAAATCCCATAGCCATTCCACTTCCATTACCAAGTATCAGTAGATAACAAATACTGTTGCTTATATTTAGAGGAAATCTAGATTTGTAAAGCCAAAGTAGTGTAACATTTTGTGTGGATCAGAAAGAGGAAGCATTTGGGAGGGAAGGGAGATAGAGCACAGGAAGAAAGGACTAGATTTTGATCCCAAACAAACGAGTTGGAGGCTGTGTGTTTAGCAGGAGGAGTGTGAGGCCTGGTATTGCATCATCTTGTTTGAATCACCACTTTTCTCTCTTATTTGTAAAATGAGAAAATGGAGCTAGTATATCTAGATTCTTTGAACTAGAAGCATCCTTCAGCTACCCTTGGATGACTATTCCCTGTGCAGGGAGTTTGCAGCTGTCTGCACGGAAGCGTCCATGGGGCGCCTGCATATGCTCTCGCGGGTGCTACCCTTAGCTTGCTGGCCTTGCCACATCCACGTTGTCACAGATGGTTTTCTTGTCCTTAACATAAAATCAGAATGAAATGTAATGCTTTCTTGCAGCAAAGTAAAGTCCTGCTTTTATTCTTGGTGCAGTTGTCCTGTCAGCAAGTGTTTGTTTAGAAAAGGCAAATAGTTAATACCAGGCTCACCTTAGTCACATGCCCTTTTCTTAGTAGATGTATGCATTACATTGCTGTTCATTTTTGGACGGAATTGGCTGTCTCCCCTCAGGTGTTGTCGTCGTTCTCCCCCCACCACCCGTGATCCATCCCCACCATTCCTTGTGTTCTTCCTGCCCATTTTGAGCCCCTCCATCTTCCTCCTCTGCTGTAGGCCTTATGTCTATGGTCTGCCTGCAAGATTAGTCTTTTCCCTGACCCTCTGTTGGGCTTCTCTACAGTCCACATGCCAGTGAGACCACTGCTCATTTTCTTTTCCTTCTGACTTAATGCACATAGCAAAATCCCTTCCAGCTCATCCATACTGCCACAAAAAGGCATGAGTTCATTGTTTTTGCCTTGCTGAGTAGCATTCCACTGTGTACATATGCCACAGTTTCCTGAGCCATTCATGGACTGCATGGAGGTTGTTTTCATATCTTTGCTATTGTAAACAGTGCTGCAGTAAACAGAGTGCAGGTGTCCTTTCTAATTAGTTTTTGTGTCCTTTGGGTAGCTCCCTAGGAGTGGAATTCCTGGGTCATATGGTAACTGCATGTTAGTGTTCTGAGGAACCTCCCCATAGCTTTCCATGGTGGCTGGACCAGTTTTCACTGCCACCAGCACTGTAAGAGGCTACTTTTTCTCCACATCTTTGCCAGCATTTGTTGTTGCCAGTTTTTGGTAGGACCACCTCATACCAGTGAGAATAGCCATCTCATTGTGGTTCTGATTTGCGTTTTCTTTGGACAGGTGTCTCTAGCTCTTCTGCCTATGTTTTGACTAGGGTGGTGGTTCTGTTCAATTGTGTGAGCTCTTTGTAGCTCTTTGATACTACCCCTGACCAGTTGTATGGAGTGCAAATATTTTTTCCTATTCCATGGGAGAAAAGAAAACGGAAAAAGTGCAATTTGCAGAGCATGGGGAAAGCACTGACACGGTGAGGCCAGCAGTGACGTGAGCTCATGCCGTGGCTCTTCGTCACTGACGGACTGTCCATCTGCTCAGCATGGTCACTCGGATGGTAGGTGACGGGCCCCAGGGACGCTCTGCCTGCACACTACTCCCTTGCACGCTGTGTTTCTCAAGCTGTCTTAGGCCCCTCAGCTGCCAGCTGTCATCTAGTCGCCAGCACGCACAGGCAGAACAGGTGCCATCCAAAAGTGGTGTGTTCATGACGCCGAGATGGCTCACAGGCCATTTGTCAGACTCTCTGGTCTATTCTAGTCTGAATGGGTGAGTCTCAAAATTATTTTGTGTAGTGTATATTCTAAACATGTCACGATTTCGTAATTCCCAAATGATGTATGAATAAACTTCATAGGCTGATGGATGAGAACGATGAACGGATGACCTCGTAGACTATTTTCATTTTATAAACAGATCCAAGCTACTCAGTGTCCAGTCAATTTGGCACAAGGGAACAGATTTTACTTCACTGGGAGGCGCAGAAAATACCCTCCCCTCCAGCCTCCTGGCAGAAATGGCGTGGCCATTCAGTATCTGTTCCTCCCACGGCCGGCTCTGCACCTCCCGCTGTGTGTTAGGGATGATACGGTGCTGGGGCAGGAAGGGAGTGACGCGATCCTCTCTGCCCTTGTGGAAGGTAGGCCCTACCGAGGGGGTAGAGACAGGCATGGTGTGTCGGCTAGGGCTTCCCCGGACATTAGCCTTCAAAAATGTGAAAAAGCAGGAAATGATCCCTCCTTTGCAGTTATAAGAGCTGATGTATAAGCTGTCGGTCTCCACTGCTCATCTGCAAAGTCACAGTGAACGGCTGTGCACGCCAGCGTGGACATCATCGCTGTGCAGAGCACCTTTCCCAGTTAGCAGATTAAGGGGAGAAACAAGTCCTTGCTCAGGTGGCTGCCTGGTAAAGCTGGCGTCAGAACAGACACTCACGCATCCGGCCGTGTCGGGGGTAGCGTGTGCTGGGCAAGCAGTGTGTCTTTGGCACCTCGGCCGCCTCGCCCTCCAGGCCAGACCTCCGCCCTCCCGTCTCCCCAGCACCGGGGCTCTTGTGGACACGTCTGAGCAGGTGGAGAGTGTGTGTGTGCGTGCGTGTGTTGGGCGAGGGTGGCGTCCATAGGGGCGCAGCCTAGACAACGTGTGCACCACCTTCTGGAGGGCCGGCCCCACTCCCCATGTCCGGGTGTGTGTCACTGTATGGTAGGAAAATGGGACCCTCAGCCACCTACCAGAAGCAGCACCTTTAATGTCCCCCCGCCCCATTCACCAGCCATGACCTTCCCCTCTGTCCAGGTGGTGAAGATGATGATCGTGGTCGTGGCCACGTTCGCCGTGTGCTGGCTGCCCTATCACATCTACTTCATCGTCACCGCCATCTACCAGCAGCTCAACAGGTGGAAGCACATCCAGCAGGTGTACCTGGGCAGCTTCTGGCTGGCCATGAGCTCGAGCATGTACAACCCCATCATCTACTGCTGCCTCAACAAAAGGTAGGACCCGGACGCCATCCGCGTCGCTCCTGCTCGGCGGGAAGCACGGGGCGGGCTCCACGGCGCACACCTGCACAGAGGAGACAGGCACAGAGTCCTTGATGCCGCCCTCCCCCACGACAAGGCCGTCCTCAAAACGGCGTTCTCACAGGCTCGTCGGGGCAGGGCTTCTGCGGGCAGATTCCTGCCACACCCTGCACAGCCGCGTCTACCAGAACGGTGAGAGAGGGAGAGAGACACACGGAAAACCAGTGAGAGAAAGAAAGGAGGAGACAGATGAGCGAGAGATGGCAGAGGGACAGACGTAGAAAGACGGGGGCAGAGAGGAGTCAGAGACAGAGGGAGCGAGAGCCACAGAGCAGGCTGAGAAAGCACGTTGGAGACAAACACATGGACACAAGGGAGAGAGAACAAAACCAGAAAAAGAATAGAGCGACAGACAGGAGAGAGAGAAAGGCGGAGACAGAAACACACCAAGAAACACCGCCTGAGAGACAGAGGCAGACTGGCAGTAGACGGGCACACACGGGGAGAGAAAGGAGACAGACACACAGAGGCCAAGACACACAGACCAGGACAGAGATGGTCAAAGAAGAGGGAGACAGACTCCGGCTCAGAGACAGAGGCAGACGGGAGGGCACGCATGGGGAGACAGACCGTGCAGAGGCACGGCGTCAGACACGGGGGAGCGAGGGGGAGATGGAACATGACAGCGACTGACACGGAGCTAGGGGGAGACACAGTCAGAGACCGACACAGCCAAACCGAGAAAGATACAGCGAGATGGACCAGAAAGAAAGACGGACTCTGACAGACATCGAGACAGATGGAGAGACAGAGCAGAGACAGAGGAGAGACTGACGAGAGAGAGAGGAGAGACAGTCTCTCATCAGTCTCTCCCGTGTCTCTCCTCTGTCCTATCTCTCTCCTGTGTCTCTCCTCTCATCTGTCTCTCCTCTGCCTCAGTCTCCTCTTTCTCTCCTGTCTCTCCCCAGTGTCCTCCGTCTCTCCTCTGTCGCCTCAGTCTCTCCCCAGTCTCCTCTGTCATTCTCCTGTCTCACCTCTCTATCCTCTCTCTCTCCTCCGTCTCTCGTCAGTCTCTCCTGTGTCTCTCCTCTCTCTCTTCTCTCTCTCTCCTCTTTCTCTTCTCTCTCCTCTGTCTCTCCTCTCTCTCCTCTGTGTCTCCTCTCTCTCTCCAAGGAGACTGAGGAGAGACAGAGAGAGACAGAAGACAGAGGAGAGACAGAGGAGAGAGACATAGGAGAGAGAGGAGAGACAGAGGACAGAGAGGGGAGAGACAAAGGAGAGAGAGGAGAGACAGAGAAGAGACACAGGAGAAACAGAGGAGACTGAGCAGAGACAGGCGAGACAGAGGAGAGAGAGTGAGAGAAACAGACACAGAAGATACACAGAGACAGGCGTGTGAGGGATAGAGCAGAGACACAGGACAGACTAGAGACGGGAGAGACAGAGACCGACAGGAAGAGAAGACAAAGCGGGGGAGAGAGAAAGAGACAGACAGGAGAAACAGGACAGAGACAACGAGGACAGAGAGAAGAGAGAGACAGAGAGCACAGGGAGACACCAGGAGAGAGACAGAGGAGAGAGAGAGGAGAGACACAGGAGAGAGAGGAAAGAGAGAGGAGAGACACAGGAGAGACTGACGAGAGACTGTCTCTCCTCCGTCTCTCGTCACTCTCCTGTGTCTCTCCTCTCTCTCTTCTCTCTCTCCTCCTTCTCCTCTCTCTCCTCTGTCTCTCTTCTCTCTGTCTCTCCTCTCGCTCCTCTGTCTCTCCTCTCTCTTCCGCGGAGACTGAGGAGAGACACAGGAAAGACAGAGGACTCAGAGAAGAGAGAGAGAGGAGAGAGAGGAGAGACTGACGACTGTCTCTCCTCTCTCTCCTCTGTCTCTCGTCAGTCTCTCCTGTGATTCTCCTGTGTCTCTCCTCTCTCTCTCCTCTCTCTCCTCCGAGGAGACGGAGAGACACAGGAGAGGCACAGGAGACAGAGGAGAGAGAGAAGAGAAAAACGAGAGAGGGGAGAGACAGAAGAGAGAGACACAGAGGAGACGAGGAGAGACACATGAGACAGAGGAGAGGGCACAGAGGGGAGAGAGAGGAGAGACAGTAGAGACAAGGAAAGACTGACAAGAGACTGTCTCTCCTCTCTCCTGTCTCTCTCCCCTCTTGCTCCTCTCTCTCTTTGTCTCTCTCCTGAGGAGACTGAGGAGAGACACAGGATACAGAGGAGAGACACAGGAGAGATACAGGAGAGATACTGAGAGACAGAGGAGGGACACAGGAGAGACAGGACAGAGGAGAGACTGAGGAAAGAGGAGAGACATGAGAGACAGAGAGGAGACAAAAGAGAGAGAGGAGAAAAGGAGAGACAGAGGAGAGCCACGAGAGAAAGAGGAGAGAGAGGAGAGACACAGGAGAGACTTACGAGAGACTGTCTCTCCTCTCTCTCCTCTGTCTCTCCTTCTCTCCTCTCTCCTCCAAGGAGACTGAGGAGAGACACAGGAGAGAGAGGAGATAAAACAGAGGAAAGACAGAGACAGAGGAGAGTAGGAGCGACAGAAGAGGCTGAGTAGAGACAGAGAGAGACACATGAGACAGAGGAGAGAGACAGAGGAGGCACAGAGGGGAGAGAGGAGAGACACAGAAGAGACAGAGGAGAGACAAGAGTAGAGACACAGGAGAGACTGTCAAGAGACTGTCTCTCCTCTCCTCCGGGGAGACTGAGGAGATACACAGGAGAGACAGGCAGGAGAGACGAGAGACAGAGGAGAGACAGAGGAGAGAGGGAGAAAAAGAGAGAGGAAGGACTTGAGAGAGACACAGGAGAGACTGGCAAGAGATAAAAGAGAGAGAGAGAGAGAGAGGGGAGAGTGACGAGAGACTGTCTCTCCTCACCTCCGTCTCTCATCAGTCTCTCCTGTGTCTCTCCTCTCTTTTCTGTGTCTCCTCTGTCTCTCCTGTCTCTCCTCCGGGGAGACTGATGAGAGATAGAGGAGAGAGAGGAGGGACAGAGGAGAATGAGGACAGACAAAAGAGACGGAGGAGAGAGAGAGGAGACACAGTGGAGACAGAGGAGAGACTGACGAGAGACTGTCTCTCCTGCGTCTATCCTCTCTCCTCCGAGGAGAGACATAGGAGAGACACCGGAGAGAGAGGAGTGACAGAGGATAGAGAGAGGAGAGACCCGGGAGAGACAGACAAGAGACTGTCTCTCTCCTCTGTCTCTCCTCTTGCTCCTCTCTCTCCTCCAAGGAGACCGAGGAGAGACAGGGAAGAGAGAGGAGACAAAGGAGAGAGAGGAGAGACACAGGAGAGACCTAAGAGAGACACAGGGGAGGCAGAGGGGAGACTGAGAAGACACAGAGGAGAGAGAGGAGAGACACAGGAGAGAGAGAGGAGAGGAGAGAGAGGAGAGAGATTGGAGAGACTGTCTCTCCTCCGTCTCTCTTCAGTCTCTCTCCTCCCAGGAGACTGAGGACAGACACAGGAGAAACTGAGGAGAGACAGAGGAGAGAGAGGAGAGACAGGTAGAGAGAGGGAGAGTGAGGAGAGACAGAGGAGAGAGAGAGAGAGGAGAGACAGGAGAGACACAGTAGAGACAGAGAAGACTGAGGAGAGGAGAGAGAGAGGAGAGAGGGGAGAGGAGAGAGACAGGAGAGACTGACGAGAGATAGAGGAGAGACTAAGGAGAGACACAGGACAGACAGAAGAGAGAGGACAGAGGGAGAGAGAGAGAGAGAGAGAGAGAGAGACACAGGAGAGACAGGACAGAGAGGAGAGACACAGGAGAGACAGGACAGAGAGGAGAGAGACAGAGGAGAGGGAGGGGGGAGAGAGAGCGAGAGACACACACAGTGGACTTGGGAGGGAGGCAGGGAGAGAAATCGATGAGAGAGAGAGGCAGAGACAAAGAGTGGGAGACCAGAGAGAGGATAGAGGAATGGAGCCTACAATGTAATGTGGTTGGAGACAACAGTGGGGAAAAGAGACAGAAGAGAGACAGAGATAAAGGGAGAGACGTTGAGAGACAGAAACAGACAATGGAGACGGAGACATGCAGAGACCGCAGAGGCATCAGAGACCGTGATGGGGAGAGGCCAAGACCAGCTGACAGGGAATGGATAGACGTGGGGAGAGAAAGAGGGTCAGACTGGAGGCGCGGAGAGAGAGGTAGCAGATGGAGATGCACAGACCAAGACATGCGGGAGCAAGAGGAGACCGACAAGGTCAGCTGCTGAGAGACAGAGTCAGGGAGAAATGGACAGACAGACAGAGATGAAGAAAGAGATGCAGACATCAGACACAGAGGCGGAGGCAGATGGAGAGAGAAACTGACACAGACAGACATAGGGAGGGAGAGGCAGTGTCTGAGAGACAGACATTAGTCAGAACAGAGATGCAGAGAGACACAGTGGGATCGAGACAGTCAGAGACTGAGAAATGCAGTGAGAGACATAGACAAGGAGAGATCCAGAGAGATGGAGACAAAAATAAAAGGACAGACAGGAGGACATGGAGCGAGACAGAGGCTGAGAGAGAAACCAAGAAAGAGGTAGAGAGAGACATTGAGACAGGAAAGAGGAAGAGACGTGGCTGGACACATTAGAGGCAGAGAGGCTGAGGCAGAAACCATCACAGACACTGGAGACAGACCTAAGAGACACAGATGCAGAAGGCGGGAGAATGACATGGGGTTAGACAAACATTGGGAGGGACACAACAGTCAGAAGCTGAGGGACAGAGACAGCCAGAGACAAAGAAGAAAACACAATATGGAGAGACAGAGACGACTACAGGGAGATGGACAGACGTGGGGAGGGAGAGAGACCATCAGAGGCAGAGACTCAGCAGACAGAGACAGAGAGATGGGTACATGGAGAGAGATGAAGAGACAGTTTCCTACAGACCTGGGCAGGGGGATGGAGAGAGAGAGAGAGAGAGAACTGAGGCCAAGAGACAGACCAAGAGATGCGGGTGGATGGGCAGAGAGACAGACACAGAGAGGAGACAGACAGACGGGAACAGACCCACAGAAGGAGTAAAGGGTGACCGAGAGGGTCAGATGCTGAGACACAGGAGGAGAGGACAGAGAGACACAGACGAATAAAGGGATGCCAGAGAGACAGAGGCAGACGGGGACAGAAACGAGAGAGCCGCAAGCAGAGACAGGCGGAGAAATGTACGCGGAGAGGGAGACTGATGAGGACTTAGACCAACCGCGGGAGAGGCTGAGACAGAACTTGGCCAACAGAGAGCCAGAATGAGACGGAGTAGTCAGAACAGAGATGTGGAGGGACACAGTGGGGTAGAGAGGGAGTAGGGGAGAATAATGGAGTCGATACAGACCGGCAGAGACGAAGAGATGCAGTGAGAGACAGGCAAGGAGAGATCCAGAGGCAGAGACCAACAGTAGGATTAACAGAGCAACAAAGACAGGTGGAGACAGAGAGACACAGAGACACGTGGACACAGAGGCTGAGAGACAAACCAAGAGCGAGCTCCGGAGAAACATGGAGACCGGAGATACAGGACAGAGGGACAGGGACAGAGACATGGCTGCAGACAACAGATGACGAGAGAGAGGTTGAGAGAGAGACAAAGAAGCAACACAAAGAGATGGAGAGAGACAGAGCAGCTGACAGGTAGATGGACAGCCATGGGGGAGAGCGCAGACGGTCAGAGGCAGAACAGGACAGAAGGAGATGCGGAGAGACACAGTGGGGTCGAGAGGGAGACAGGGAGTGAAATGGAGGCCACAGCCAGAGACTGAGAGATGCAGCAAGAGAGACACAGAGATAGATTGAGACAGAGGCTGAGAGACCACCAAGAGCTACCGCGAGACATGGAGCCCAGTGAAAAAGGAGAGAGAGAGACAGAAACATGGCTGGAGACAACAGATGAAGAGAAACTGAGGAGACACACAGAGGGAGAGAGGCTCAGACACTGGAGACAGGTGGACAGAGATATGAGGGACAGAGGGCGAGAGGAAGAAGCAAACAAAGCAAGGGGGAGAGAGAGAGGGAGACTGACAAACAGGGAGAGGAGACACAGTCAGAGGCTGAGAGACAAAGATTGGCGGAATGAGACAGTAGTCAGAACAGAGAGACACAGTGCAGTACAGGAGGAGACGGGGAGAAACTGAGGCGACAGAGACACAGACAAAAGAAAACACACAGGCTGAGACACCCAAGAGCTCCAGAGAGACAGGGACAACAAATGAAAGGACTGACGGCAGAGACAGAGATGGAGAGAGGCTGAGACATACAGAGATGGGGAAGACGAGACAAAAAGCAGCAACACAAAGAGGGAGGGAGAGAGAAGGGCTGACTGGGTGACAGACTGACATGGCGGGAGAGAGCAGATGGTAAGGGGAGGCGGAGAGACAGTAGGGTAGAGAGGAAGACTGCGAGAGAAATGAGGCGACAGACTGAGAGAGGCACAGAGATAAGCAGAGATCTAGAGACACAGATCGACAGATGGAGACAGACACAGAGACAAAAGGAAACAGATCAACCCAGAGACCGAGACACAAACCAAGAAAGAGCTAAGAGAGACCAGGGGACAGGGACAGAGACGTGGCTAGAGACAACAGACCAAGTAGACGGGAGAGAGCCAGGCCAAGACAGCAGCAGACACGGAGACAGGAGGAGACACATCGACTGACAGAGATGGAGGGAGAGAAATGAAAAACACGGCGAGAGAGAGAGAGAGAGAAAGAGCTAGGGGAGCCAGTGACAGAGATACTGCATGAGATCTGCTAGAGCGATGGAGGACACAGGGACACACAGGCAAAAAGACACAAAACAGACTACGGAAGAGAGACGTTCACACAGAGAGGTTCCGAGACACACCAAGACAGCGCGCTGCCGACACAGGCCGGAGCGAGAGGCGGAAGAGACAAAGACTTCGGTACAGAGGTACCTGACACAGGTAGACAGACCTGGGGAGAGGGAGGAGACAAGTTGAGAGGAGACACCCAGGGAGTCCCATGGAGACGCAGACAAGAAGGACAGACTGACGGATCTAGACAGTCAGTGGGAGAGATGGAATCGGAGGAAAAAGGAGAGGCACGGAGATAAAGCGCCAAGGATCCATACGGAGCGAGAGCGAGGAGACCGAGTCCACCTGTCAAGACAGAGACAGAGGTCGCCGGGGAGAGACAGATGCGGCCACGAGGACATTGATAGAGGGGACAGGGTTCAAGAGAGGCAGGGACGGTCCGACAGACTCAGTTACTCAGAGTCGAAGACCGGCGCTGAGAGACGGAGTCGGAGACAGAGAGATGAACGCACACAGGGAAGACAGACACACAAGGACAGATGTAGCGAGAAAGACGCCAGAGAGGCTGAGAGAGATGGACAGACAGCAGGTGGGCGAAGAGTGGCAGAGAAAGACAGTGTAGACGTGAAGCTCCCAGAGGGGAGGCGGGAGAGGGGCTTGAAGGGAGCGCCCCAGTGCAGGCGCACACACCCCACCTGACTGTCCCGTGGCTTCTTGTCCTCCTCAGGTTCCGAGCTGGCTTCAAGAGAGCCTTCCGCTGGTGCCCTTTCATCGAGGTCTCCAGCTACGACGAGCTGGAGCTCAGGGCCGCCCGGTTCCGCCCCACGCGCCAGAGCAGCCTGTGCACCGTGAGCAGGATGGAGGCCGTGACCGTGGTGCTGGACCCCAGCGACCCAGATGGCGCCAGATCCACTCGGAAGAAGAGGGCGACCCCCAGGGACCCCATCTGCAGTGGCTGCTCTCGCAGAAACTCCAAATCTGCTTGCACCCCCTCGAGTCTCATCAAGTCCCCCTACACGTCTGTGCATGACTTTTCCTGAGCCGCGCCCGGCAGGCCCCCCGGACGGTTGTCTAGCGGCCCTAAACTTCCAGGTGCAGCCCAGTGAAAACACAGCTGGCGATACCTGCAAGGTGTTCATTTCTCCCACCCAGAAGTGAATACGCATCTGGGACAGTAAAATGACAGTGACGTGGTTCTTTGAAAGGTGTAAATTATTTTCAGAAACGCTGATGAATGAAAAGTAAATACAAAGATCAGTGAGTCATTTCCTCAGTAATAGAGTAACTCAAAAGGAGGGGAGAAAACTTATGGCCTGAATGTTATTTTGTAAACTGAAAACTTACATTTAACAAATGTTCTGTGTAAAATGGCATCGAAAAAAAAACGAGTCCCATCGAGTGTGTACACACGTCATTCTCTGATCGTTGGAGAAAGCGACTTCACAACTGGGAAGTTACTTTCTGACCATTCCATAGTTTAAGAACATCACGCGAATACAGACTTAGGACCTTAGGAGACCAAATTCCTACAGTCCTGTTGTTTCAGACATTTACATCCCTGTGATAGGCGCAGCATAAAACAGTAGAAAAGCCTTGTACTTAAAAGGGGAGAATCCCATTTGTCTCAGAAACTGTTTAGTTTTTGCCAAAACTGCTGAAGACTGATTCCCAGTGGGGAAGGCTGACGGGAGCGCCTGCCAGACATGTCCCCCCTGGGGAAGGTGAGGTGCGTTGGGTGCACCCTCCCCCTAGCCCCGCCGACAAAGGAGTAAGAACAGGACGTAGAAGACGACATTATGCCAGGCCTGAGGGGAAGAGCCAGGCGTGACCAGGCAGCGTGGCGGGGGCACAGCAGGCCTCGCAGCAGGCGAGCTCGCGCTACGTCCCTGCAGGACTGTCCTCCCGCTGCTCGTTCCTGGGGCCAGGCACGCAAGACTCCCTAGAGGGCTTCAGGATTTAGATCCGCACAGAAAGTAGTACTTCTTGTCAGAGAAATTTAAAAGAATCAAAAGGCCTCGCTTTAAGTAGCCCTGTCTTAAGAGAAATAAAAATTTTCGTCTTTTTACACCTAGAAGACGTGTTTTGAAATGACCGGTACGGGGGTAAAAAGCAAACCTGCCCGTTGGGGAGTCCGCCTGACAGCAGCTGCTGCTTCCAGCGCTGCCGCTCGGGCGGCCGTGCTCGGCGCCGGCCGCTGACAAGGATGCACGCGCTCTGTGCACTTGCGAGCGAGGGGAGGCGGGCTGAGCCGGGCCGGCGTGAGCATGGCGGCTGCGGGCGGGGTGGCCAATGCATGCAGTGGGGCCCCCGAGGGGGTGGTGGGGGAGTGGGGGGGGTTGGCGGGCAACCTTGTCACCTTCGTAGCTCGTGGATAAAGTTTTTTCAAGTTGTAATTACACTGAGTCGATTTAACAGACATGCCTCCTTCGCATGTGTGGTAATATGTGAGATTTGATTTCTCTTTGAAAACATTAAAAATGATACTGAAAATAAAGGTAGCCCTCCTATTTCCCAGCTGCTAGCAAAACACGGTCTGAAGGGGCCTCATCTCAGCACACTCGCCAGACACCCTTCAAAACGCCATCATGCTGCCTGCCTTTTCCTCAAATTGTCTAGTTTTCCTCAGTTACCTTGAGTCCTAAGCACCCCTTTGGAGAGCAAGGCTATCAAAGCATAGACAAGGTCTCCACACCTTGCAGGGGTGGCATGGAGTCCAGGGGGAGACTCGCCTGGGTGGGGCGGGCCGGGGCCTACCCTTGTCCCTGAGCCCCGAGCCTGGCCCAGGGCCTCCCTGAACTTCCCAGTGAAAAAGAAAGTGACCCAGTTTCTTCAACATCATGAGAGAGCGAGTGACCTTCCTCCTAAGCAGGTCTGTGTCTGCATCCAGCCCTCGACACGTAGCTCCGGCTGCGCTGAGTCCCCTGGAGACCTGGCTGTGGCTGGGCTCTGAGTAGGGGCCGCCCAGCAGGTGAAGGGTTGAAACGGCCTTTTCCTAGATGGAGTGGCTGTGGGGTGTGAAACTAAACTCAGCTCTTAGGAATGAAGTTAGATGCACCCATTTTAGGTTGGACAACAAAAATGTTAACCTTTACCAGATACCAGATGAGGGGCTGGGAGCAGGTGTTTGGGGTCTCAGCAGCATCCCTGACGGTCTCCTGGCCTCCTGCCACCTGAGGGGAGTCCCAGGGCCCCTGCGTGTCCATCTCACAGCTGTGAGGCGTCTACCCTGATGCCCGCAGCCCCACTTACACCAGCCAAAGATGTACAAGCCCAGCCCTCGAGTAGTGAGAAAGTGGCGGGGGGGGGGGGGACGGACTAGAGCAGGGAGCCTCACCCACCATGCAGCCACAGCTCAGACAGCCCCCAAGCTCTCAAATCTACCCATGTTCTACTGCTACACCTCTGCCCTGCCGCATACGTGGCTGGCCCTGCCACCTGCCTGGAGCCGCCTCTCCAGCGCCCCCTAAAGTCAGTTCTCCACGCAGCAACCCACGACTCCTAGGACAGTGCCCACCATCTCACGCCCAGCCTGAGAGCCCTCTCCAGCCTCCCACATCACTCAGACCAAGACCAAGGCCCAAACAGGTGCTGGGAGGCGGAGAACGCCCTTGCACTGGCTCTCTTCTCGCCTTCCCTGCTCTGCTCTCCTGCTCTGCTCCCCTGCTCCCTGGACAGCACGTCCAGCCTTCCTACAACCTCAGTCTCTGGGTACCAGCTGCTCCTTTCTCTAGAGCGTTCTCACAGAGGTGCATGACAAATGCCTTGGTTTTCTCACATCTTTCCCAAGCGACTCCCAACCTAGTTACCTTACTTACAAATCACACATTCTCACTCCCACCCCAAGTTCTTCCTCCCAGTTCTCTATCCTGCTCTTTATTTTAGCATAACGTGTGTCGTGTTCCAGAATGCCAAATAATTTACTCCATCCCATTTACACTTAGCCCCTAAGTTGATATGTAAGCTCCAGTAGGGAACATGCTCATTAAATAATGGGTCTGGAAAATATATTTAAAGAAATGATTAAAAAACCATGAATTTCCTTAGGAATAAATTACAGATCAATGAACTGCAAGGTGATAAAACCACACTATTGTAATCCACACACGACACTTCACACTATTGTAAGCCAAAATAAACAGAAAATCCTGAAACATTAAGAAACAACACTATGGAAAGATATATTTCGTGCAAATAGTAACCAAAGTAGACATTAAGAACTATTACAAGAGACAAAGGACTTTGTATATTGAAGAGGCTCAGCTCATCAAGAAAACATAGCAATTATAAACATAAGCAGTTTACTATAGGATCCCAAAATATATGAAATAAAAACCGACAGAGATGCAGAGAAATAAACAGCCATCCAGTAATGGACACTTCAATGCCCACACTCAGTAATGGAGAAAGACCTACACAATAGAGAACTATTAGAAAATCTTGAGATAGAAAAAATAAAACATTCGAAAATGTATGAAAGAGTACTGCTTGGAGGAAGCTGTAGAGCTGTAATGCCTACATGAAAAATGAGAGATTTCAAATTATTTAACTTTATATTGAGAAACTAGTACAAGAAAACTCACCTCAAGCTACTGAGAGGAGAGAAATATTAGAGCAGAGATAATCAACACACCCAACAGTTTCTTAAATATTCAACAAGTTTTACCACGGTTTAGCTAGACGGTCAAAGAAAAAGTGCACAACTAAAGTCAGAAGAGTGCAGACTACTGTCCTTACAGAAGAGAATTAGAACAGCCACTGACCTTACAGAAGAGATTTAGAATAGTACAAATAACTGGACACCAATTAATTAGATAATCTAATTTTAGTATAATTAAAATTACAGATTTCTAAGAACATGCAAAAAAGGTAAAGTAGAAAATCTCAAATATAAGAAGTAAAAAAGTTGGAATCGGGGGCCTCCCCGGTGGCACAGCGGTTGAGCGCTGGGTTGCGAAGCTGCCCGCGGCCTCTGCAGTGCTGGTTCGATCCCTGGCTGCTCCCCGGCCACCGGAGGAGGGTCCCACATGGCGCGCAGACCTCTCCTGCCGCCCGCTGCTCCCCTCAGCAGTGTACTTTGGTCCTTCTGCCTGCTCTGCTCCCAGCTCTGACTCTGGTGAATTCTCTCACCCTCCCGCGCTTCTGACTGTACCCAGTGCATGTACAGACAAAAAACAAACAAACAAACAAATAAATAAATAAAAACATGCCTCTATTAAAAAAAAAAAGTTGGAATCGATTTTTTTTTTAATTTTTTTTTATTTTATTTTCTTATAGAGGCATGTTTTATTTATTTTCTTTTGTTTTGTTTTTTTGTTTGTTTGTTTGTTTATACATGCACTGGGTACAGTCAGAAGCGCGGGAGGGTGAGAGAATTCACCAGAGCCAGAGCGGGGAGCAGAGCAGGCAGAAGGACCGAAGTACACTGCTGAGGGGAGCAGCGGGCGGCAGGAGAGGTCTGCGCGCCATGGGGACCCTCCTCCGGTGGCCGGGGAGCAGCCGGGGATCAAACCGGCGCCGCAGAGGCCGCGGGCAGCTTCTCAAGCCAGCGCTCAACCGCCGCACCACCGGGGAGGCCCTTGATTTTTTTTTTTTAACCGACACTAACAAGAAAAGTCTAAGATTTGTTGTCTTCACTGGTAAATTCTATCAAATATTTAAGAAATCATAAGAGTGATCCTCTAACTCTGAAATAAGTGGAAGGGAAAAACCCTGGCTTATTCTGCGCCCAGCATCACTCTGATACCAAAGCCAGAAACGTCACAGAAAAGAAGGTCACAGACCAGCATCACCATCAACACAGATACAAACACCTCAACTCTGAGGAGACTGGGCAGGTGGCAGCACAGGGGACGTGCCAGACCCACCTCCACATACTCACAACCCAACCACAGCACAACAAGGTCAGTGACCCCCTGAGAATCACCAGACAACAGCAGCACACAACAGGCGCGACACACGCCAACTGTCGCCCAGGCTGTACACAGACTGATTTCATAATCACAAGATGCAGGGTGGCTGGTGGGTCAGAAAACAGCCCACATTCCTGCTGTCCTCAGGGGACTCATTTGAGCTCCGAAGATAAACAGACTCAAAGTATAAGGTTGGAAAATCATCCTGTAAGCAAACGGGGCCCTCCAAGAAAAGGCAAAGACAGCCGCACTCATCAGATTTCCAACCACAGAGGTGACAAGAGAAAGAGGGACACTACATCATGACGAAGGGATGAACACATCAGCAAGACATAACACTCATCAATATATATGCACAAACGAAGGGCCATCAAAATGTAGGTGGCAACTCATATCAAACCTGCAGTCACACCCCAGTGCCAGCACAAGAGCAGCAGAGGACTGCACCACCCCACCGTCCCCACTGGAGAGATCAACCGGACAAAAGTCGACAAGCAAACAGTAGCCAAAAATGAGGATTGGAGCACATGGTCTGCACAGACAGTCACAGGACACTGAACGCACGTTCCTCTCAAGTGCACACAGAGCATTCTCCAGCACAGACCACATGCTGGGTCACAAAACAAGTCTCCATAAAGTGATGAAGATCAAACTTGCATCACAATGGTAGCAAACACAAGAAGCAAGAAAAACCTGTATAGTATGTGAAGATTGAACACACTACTGAGTGAGCATTCAATGCGGAAATGAAAGAAGAAATCCGAAAACACCAGAGATGAATGAAAACGAAGCCAGGGCCCGAGACACCCTCCAGTACGCAGCGGAAGCAGCACGCCTGGGAAGCGAGCGCAAGGAAGGGCCACGCCAAGAAGCAAGAGAGGCCTCAACAGGCCACCTTGTATTTCCCTTTAAGGTACTAGGAAAAAGAACAATCAAAACCAAGAGCCAGTACAAGGAAATAAAAATTAGAGCAGAAATAAATGAAACAGAAAAAGACCTCCAAAGGATCCATGAAACCAGAAACTGTTTCTTTGAAAAAAATAGACGACTAACCTTTAACTAGATTCACAAAAAGCAGGAAGAATATAACAAATAGGAGAAATGGAAGAGGTTACAACAGACATTTCAGAAATACAGAGAATCATAAGAAATTGCTGTGAACATGCATGTGTAAGCAAATTGTGTCTAACCCCCCAAAATAATGCAAATTTGGATCCTACAAGCAAAGAGAAAGCCA